CGCCTCCCCCACTGCTGCTGCTGCTGCTGGTACTGTTCCTTGGACATGGCTACTTTTATTTCACACTGGAAATGGAAAGTTCAAGTCAGATCCAGTTAGCACAGATAACCCCTACAAACTATCCTTAAACTTAGAGAAAACCAAGCAGAAAATTGGATTTGGTCACCCTGGTGACCCCCTGGAAAAAGAAAAAAAAAAAAAAAGAGGCTAACTTATACTCTGCAACTTTAAAATAATTCTAAGACACTGGCATTATAAAAACATTTCAAGTTTTCTGCCAGTAGAACCAGTTCTGAAAAGAGTGCTTGTTTCTGTGTATGTCTTTCCCTTTGAAATAGGCCTCTGAGGTCTATTTATCTGGGAAAAGGGAAATAAAATCTGAGTTACAAAAGTACGGTCAACATATTTTACTCAACTCTGTTTTGGAGCTTCCGTTACATATGCATGCAGTGAAGAAACAGCCAGGTACAATTTAAGTTTTTGTTACTAGGTTGAATTTCCACCAGGTTTCTGAAAGTAACCTAACTTCCAACAGGAAACCCTAACTTCCCATTTCATTTCAGTTTTGGAAGCGTGCCAAGATAAACTGTCATTTTTGCTTAAAGCAAAATATTTCCATCTTAAACACACCAAGATCCAGCTGCCAGGAGAAGACGGTGCAGCATGATACCTGGGATCAGTGACACAGTACTCTGACCAGAACAGCTGGAGAACATGGAGCTTCACAATGAACAAATGCACTGCAGCCCAGCCCCTCTCCCCACAGGGGCTGCAGTACCAAACCTCACCTGAAGCCCCCACAGCTCAGAAATTCAGATTATTGAATTCCTAGCACCTATATAAATACTCCACAGGCTTCATGCACTCATGTGAGAAAGGAAGCTAACAGGTTTTTGCAGACTAATATCCTCAAATAGATGCAACTCAGTTGCTCTAGAAAAAAAAATCCACCTACTTTACTAAGCCCAACATTGTGGTACTTCTTTTCCATTATTTTCTTCACTGGTTCCTCCTCCTTGAAAGTAATGAAGCAAAATCCACGCCTCTTGTTGGTTTTGTTGTCCATGGGGAGCTCTATTGATTCAACCTGGTAGAGAACAGTGATTTTATCTTGTTATCCTGCCATTCATGATACTCAATGATGCTTATAACAAGTCATACTTGTTAAGTGAAATTATTTAGTCTTGAGTATGATAACCTGCCTGCTTCATAGGGCTTTACATCACTAGAAACCATCACAAACATCACCTTCACTAGAAACAGTGTTGACAATGGTGTGAAAGATTAATCTCCTCTACCACAGGATCACTTGCCCATTCAGTAACTCATACAAAATATGGTGCACAAAGACTATTTGTGTTGTGCTGGATAAATAGTCTCTGTTTAACTTTCAGCTTTAACATGGTTAAGACTGAAGTAACTAGGTGTTTCAAGCCTTGGAACAGACCTAAACCTCCAAGTCTGTATCTTTGTACAAGCGCACAGCTCTTTCATGCACAATGCTGCTAAAATTGTATGTTAAACAGGACAAATTTCACACCTGACTACAAACACAGAATAGAGTCTTCAGACTAGGCAAACAGCAGTTAAAGACTGTCAGACATCCCATGAATCAGCTTCTCACTAAGTCATCCCAGCTCCTGCTTCCATTAACACAGTTTATGCAACTCCAAGCATGTAATTAAAACCCTTATCATTAAAACTCTGACTACTCAGACACAGGGAGCTCCACTGGCCATCAAGCTTACAGTAGCGTCCATGTAGGTTGCACTTGGGGGCTGCTTTTTACTACTACACTTGTGAAGACAAATCAAGTTCAACAAGTATACGCAGTTTATTCCATTACATACCTCACCAAAAGCTCCAAAATATTCCCTTATTTTCTCCTCAGGCGTATCTGGAGATAAACCCCCAACAAAAATCTTTTTAACAGGTTCTTTTGTTTTCATGGCTTTAGCTCTTTTTGGATCAATGACCTTTCCATTCAGCTTGTGTTCCTTCTGGTCCATGACCTGTGGAAAATGAAAACATGATCTTATTCTCACTTCAAGCTAAACGTTTCACTGATGTTTTAAGCAAGGCCCAGTTATTTTATTCTTAGTTTTTGCTAATGCTATTGCTTCTAATTAAATACTTTGGTTACAGCAATAACCAAAACAGTGGCTTTTATTCTTAGTTTTTGTTAATGCTTTTGCTTCAGTTTAAATACTTTGGTTACAGGAATAACCACAACAGTTAGGGTTTTGCACAAAACCAAGCAGTTTCATGATTCTGATTGGTACCCACTGATAGAGGTGGTTCTGACAAAGCCTTTCAAGAGTCACCTCATGACCCAAGGGAAGTAAGAGTTCAACATTTCTCAGAAAATACTCTTCAACCCCATCCTCAAACCTCATGAAATAAGGAATAGGCAATTTAGATATCACCAAAGGTCAATCAAAGGGCAATTTTTTTCAGCACTGTGTCAACAGCATTTTAGAAAGGTTAACAGATGATTTCTCCTTGCATAAAGCCCAAACCTCTGAAAGCCACCAGCTCTACTCTAGAGGTTTATGTTGCAGCTCTGGAACACAAAGGTATGAAAGTCTTGGTAAATTACTGCTTCCACAGTAGTAGGCAGCAGACATTTATATACAGTATTTTTAATGTGCTGGAATCCAGTGGCTTGCAGTACATTCCTCTGTGAGTACCCAAAGCCACACTTTGGGAACCACTGTTGATCCTGGTCACTGCATCACAAGTAAGATGGTATAGTAATAAGCATCTTCAATGTATTTGCATCCCAGAATCATCTTTAACAGACCACATACAAACAGCTGTGCATACAATCATCTGAGTGCTGTGTCTTTGCTACCTGGAATTGAACATGTTGCTTCATGACATTAACACTACCTTATCTACGCTCTCAGATTCCTTGAAGAGCACAAAGCCGAAGCCTCTGGATCGCCCAGTGATGGGATCTAACTTCAGAGTGCAGTCTACGACTTCACCAAACTTAGAAAAATAGTCCTTCAGATCTTTCTTTGTAGTGTCCCAGCTAAGGCCGCCAATAAACATTTTCCTGTTAAGACAAGATGATTAAAGCTCTTCATGTGTCTTACCCAAAATCCTGTACTGTCAAGCTTTACAAGCTCAGTTACCTCATATAGGGAACAGCAACATTTTGTCAGCAACACCCCCCCCACAGGCCTGCACTTTTTTGGGAATTGCTTAAATGTTCCTGGCCAGATTAGAGAAAGACTCATGTGTACACAGAAGTTTTGCACCACCTTCCACTACAGTTGCTTACTTTGCTATCCCAAGAAACTATAAGGAGTGGCAAAAAGATATTTTACTATTTCCTTGCATTCCCACCACTATTAAACCAGCACAGGCATGATTACATTTAGTTATCTGCAGAGTCCCCAAACAATTGCTTATGAAACAAGCACAGACAGAACAGATTTATAAGACAGCACAGTAAAACACAAGCATTTATGTTGTAGTTCAGGCTGCACATGTGCCAATACTAGTAAACTAAAATAAGTAAGTTTAGTCAGGTCCCCTTCCCCCCACAAGGGAGTAAAAAGGCAAAGCATTGGATGATGAAACCTTATCTTTCCTCCCAAAAACATTATACAAACATCTGGCATAAGCCAATACAATCATAATAACATCTTCCCAATATGCTATCTACAGAACCAAATGTGTACAGAATGTAACTCTGATCATAACTTGCATTTTTAAAAGCACACTAGAAGCTTGGAATCAAATTATGACCATCCCAGCATATTAGTAAGCCACAAAAAAAACCAAACAATAAAAACCCCAACAAAACCCACCAACCTAAAAATAAAAACCTAAAGAAATCAAGAAGTGCTGCATATTGATAGGCAACACAATGATTTGCATCAACTAAAAATCAAGCAGAGGGCTTATGCATTGCTTCAAAAGAGGATTGGAATTGAAATCTCTTCTAATGCTGATAACAGAAGATTTTACAGCGAACTCAAAACAAAACGTATGATCTTTTTACAAAGCATTTTCACTGTACAAACTTATTCCACCACCACCTAGTTAAGAGAAAACCTGAAAAAACACTGTAGCATGTTCCCAACTCCTCCACTTCCCACACACACAAACATCTCTGCCAATCCCTTAGAATTACACTGTATTTCCACAAGTCAAACTCTCTCAAATCAAAAGCTGGTCATGTGAACTAACTGCTGTGCTCCTTACAGAATTAACAAGAGCATTCAGCTTCTGGCAAACATATCCAAAATTCATACAAATGAGGAGGTTCAAGAGCTTCAGGTGTTCCTATTACAAGTCTTCAAGTTTATATACAGAAGCACAAATTTATCCATTGTTTTATCCACATTTCCCTTTAGTTCCAGTCTTCAACAAAGCACCAAAAGCCCTCTATAGAGTGACAACTTACTGTTTTCAGGGCCAATACAGAAAAAATGGTCCACTCTGTTAAGACAGCAACCCCATACCAGTACAGATAATAATTCAAATAATGCTTTGTGTGCTTCATCCATCATTAAGGTTCATTTTTGGTTTTTTTAAGCAGCAAAACAGAACACATAGGATGCAGAATGGTATTTCTGACACATGGGAGATAGCTTGGTAGCAATTACTACCATGCACTTGCTATATGACACCTGGTCTACAGCTATCAACAAGCATTAACATAGAAACAGAAAACCACATAGGATGCAGAATGGTATTTCTGACACATAGGAGATAGCTTGGTAACAATTACTACCAAACATGCACTACGACACCTGGTCTACAGCTATAAACAAGCATTAACATAGAAACAGAAAACCTGTTTTATAGCTATTAACAACCAGCACTAACATACAAAACTCTGCATTATATCACATGCCAGACGAAGAACATGAGTTTGAAACTGACGGCCCTCTGAAGGATTTTCTTCCTACCATGAAATAACTGCATCTGTGATTTCAGGTACAGAGCAGCAGAACATCACTGCTTCAGCTTGCCACTACAGAACTGCATCAATTACTGCTGCACTGCAAGGCTGATGTTAGATCAAGGCTACAACACAAATGTGAGCACAACAAACAATTAAGGTGTAATGCCACCGTGCTGTCAAAAGCTTGTAAAATATGTACATTTCCCAATGGTGTAGATGGTGTAGACTCACATCAGCACGTGCAGTTTTCCAACATAATTTACCAGAAGTGGACTTGGAAAGCTTTCAAACGTCAGACTTGGCTAAACAGAGCGGAGACATCACCAGGACTAGTGGCTTTGGCCTTCCTCCAACAGTCTAGTCAGAAAGTTGCCTGGCAGTTGCCAACATGCAGGCTTCCCATGTCCACAGCTCTCACTGAGGACATCTGAGGATACAAGAACCTGTGCACTGTTTTTTCCCTGATGACAGTCTTTAATTCCTAATGCAAAGGAAACCCTTCCTTTGCATTAACTTACAAAGGTACCCACATCCAGAAGCTACCAGGGATGTGATGTTAATTTCCTATACAGTGTTATCCATAAGAATGAACAGGTCAAAAAAACCTAAAAGTCAACGTTTGCTACATGCAGTCATTGCCCTATGTCACTGCACCACTCAGTGACAATTTTTTTAAGCTATGTTGACTCAAAAGAAGAGAGGCTTTCTCAGGAAAACCCTTTAATAACTGTGTACTCGAGGGCAAAAAATAAATCAGAGGACATGGACAGGGACTTATCTGCAAGTAGTGGACAAGAAAGAACAGTTTCAAACTGAAAGACTGAATATTTGGAGAAAGTTATTTACTGTGAGGGTGGTGAGACACTGGCACAAGTTGCCCAGAGCAGCTGTGGATGTTTCCTCCCCACTGGAAGTGTTTAAGATCAGGTTGGATGGGACTCTAAGCGACCTGGTCTAGTGGGAGGCAGGGGATTGGAACTAGATGATGTTATAGGTCCTTTCCAATCCAAACCACTCCATGATACTAAAACAAATATGAAAACTGCAAAGATACTTAATAGTCATTATGAGCAGGTGAGAAGTTAACAAAAAATATATCAGGTCCTTACTAATCCTAGCAAAACACTCAAAAGAGGTTCCTGTTCTCTTTCTCTGCTCTCAGCAACACCCTGGATTACTGCAAGGGGAAGAAGACAACTCAGGAATGTTTCTGCAGTAGGTACAGGATGCAGCAGGCAGTGTTCCTTGATCCAGTTTATTTTCTGCCTTGATCAATAACAGACCTGAGCTTCTGTTTCTTATTGAAAGTGACACTGCCCCACGCCAAGCATCAGCAGGTGGAAACCCTTAGAAGTTTAAAAGCTGCCTTCATTCTTAAGCTATCACCTAAAGCAAACTTCCTCGCAGCAAGTTTCACGGGGACAAACAGCTTAGGGTGGGAAGACAAGGTGCCTTAGTGCCATGCAGCTCACACACCGTTTGTTTGCTAAGTGACTGCAACCTGAACATCCCGCTATAGAGTTACATGCACCACATGCTCAGAAGACATCCTCGAAAAATAATATGTACATATATATATATCACACCAGGGGAACACCTCAGGAACAGTCACCCCCAAACGCCGCGGAATTCGGGTTGACAGAGGCATGCAACTTTCCCCACTGGAAAACACCAACTGCTTTCCAAAAACACAGCTCGCCTCCAGGTTGGCAGCCTCGGGGCGATGTTCCAGCTGCCCCTCCGAGCCGCCGGGGCCCCGGGCGAGGGGCAAGCAGCGGGCCCGCCCCCCTG